ATGGGCCCCAAAAATGCTCAACGCGGAACACAAAGTGAAGCGCGTCCAATGTGCCCAAGATTTTCTCGCCAGTTTTTGAAGAAGAAGAGAAATAATTTCTTAATTCAGTAGTCATAGAAGATACAACATGGGCCCATATTACACTCCAGAGACGAAGAAACAATCGAAACAATGGCGACACACGCATTCGCCAAAATTCAAAAAATTTTTAATGGATGGATGGCATCAGATATGCAAATCTATTTACCACAGAAAGTTTAAACTTAATAATTTTCATATATATATTATGTTAGATATATATTTTAGTATTTCGAGTAAATTTAAAAAAGCGTCGAAAATTATCTTATCTGATTGAACTAAAAGTGAAGAAATAATGAGTGGAAGTGGAAGGGAAAGTTTATTTAAATCTTGATACAGTACGGTGGTATGTTCAGAATTTTTATTACATACTAAAAATAAATTATATCTGCTACAGCGTTTATGGGGGTTATGATTGACAACCTGTGTTATTTTAAACAGGTCTGTTATTTTATAAACACACAGAAATTACAACCGGTTCACAAATAACGTGTCTGTTAAAAGTAACATTACTTGTCGATCATAACCCCGTATATTGCAATATGGACAAAAGGGAGACTCCAATATTCCAATTTTACATAAATGTGCAGGGAATCGGCCGTGGTTGAGCTTTAAACGAGTAATTATGGATGACTGATATTTTATAGTTCCATGAACTGATGTAAGGAACATTGTTTGGAATATTTGGATGTATACTATAATAGTGACTTTGTGATGCCTTCGCATGCTCAGTGTATTTAATTTCCTATTTGTTTCTGACACCTTTTTTATAAACGTTAATAATATCTATAAAACTACATGCTCCTATCCACATGTCTATTTCCTGCAATGCCACAATGTGCTTTAACCCAAACGAAGGAGTCTTTAACGGTACACTGTTTAAGATCAAACATAATTTTCTTCATGGATAATATTACCGCAGAAGTGCTATCAATAGCCTGCAGAACTGATTGGGACTCAGACACTACAACTATATTCCGAAATGAATTTGCTTTGGCCTCTGTCTTTTGGGACAGAAAGGGAATAATGCTGGTCAATTTAATGACCTGTGTAACAACCATGAACTCCGATCGGTACCGCGAGAGGAAACTTCGAAGCGCTATCCATAACAAATGAAGAGGGATTCTGACCAAAGGTGTCCGCCTTCATCACGACAACGCGCGTCCACATATGGCCATATCAAGACAACGTCACTTATTACAGAATTCGGTTAAGATGTGACAGACCACCCGCCCTACAGTCCTGACCTCGCCCCCTGTGACTTTCATATGTTTCTTGTCCTAAAAAAACATTTGGGAGGAGTGAAATTTGTAGGCGATGAAAAGGTGCATAAAGAAATCATCTTCTTTCTACCAGAGGCGGCGGGATATTGGTTCGAGGAGGGGATACAAAAGTTCGTCGTTTGGACGAGGAAGGTTATCGAAAAAAATGGCGATTACATAAAAAAATAGGTCATATTTTAAACTTTCGAAATGATGTAACATGCTTTGAAAATAAATATAATTTATTGCAAAAAAAATTGATGTGATGACTTTTCTGTATAGTTATTAACGCCTTTTCAGGTTATTTTGTAGAAACTATTGTTTCACCCCTGTAAATGTCTAAGATTGGCGAAATTATGTAAATGTATAAATTATATCTATTTTAATTGTTTTATCCTTTATATTATTCGTGTTGGCGTTCGAACGCTTTACTCATAAATCAAATTTATAATTTTAAAGGCCGGACCAGCCATTTTGTACTTTACTCAATACTATGAAAATTACTGTCATTATTCATAATCAAATATTTACCTTCATCATTATCAATTTCTTGCCTATCGCAAGTTTGTCGCCTATCGCAACTCATGACCATAAAAATAAATCCTTCTCGTAATGTGTGTACCGTGCCCATATTATCCGATAATAACCCCCTAAAGATAACCAAATCTAGCAATGAATGAATCTTATCCTTATTTGATTAATCATAGTCGGTTTACAGGAGAGAAGAAATTCACGTTTTTTAAGATGAACCGAAATAGACTAGTGAATTAAGTGCAAATAAAAAACACCAACGAGATCATAATGAAAAGATGTATATAGGAAATTGGAAAAACTGCGAGGAATGAGGCTTCAAGTAGACATAAAAATATTGCATAGAACTGTAAAACCAACACCAAAGACAAAATATTTCTTAGGTATTTTTCGATTTATTTTATTAAATTATGAAACACATTAATAATAAAAGACGATAATTTCCTGACCATATAGTAGAATTTTTTATAAACAGATAAAACGTTTTCATATTATATTTTTATTAATTTAGTAGTACATATATTTCGGAATACAATTTCATCTTCTGGTGCAGTCATCACAGTTTGTTACAATTTAAAAAATATTTAGAGACAAATCTTTTATCAGTTATATTATTTACAAAATTAATATATTTTTTAAGATGTTTTTAAGATAATAACATACGCAGCTTTGGTGTGGTGGCCAAAGACACAGCAATGGAAAGCAATAACGAGGCTAAGCAAGGTACAAACAAAGACTTGCTTGCCTCGGAATAACGGGCGCAATGAAAACAACCCCCACACCTGTAATGGAAGCACTAATAGGACTCCCACCTCTTCACTATGTTATACAAAGGGAGGCAAGATTAGGTACTTACAGATTAGGGAATACACTGGGAAATCTTGACATTAGGCCAGGTCACATGAGTATCTCAAGGTTAGTGACAGGAGACGTGCTAGACATGAGATCAGACCACATAACCAAGAGGCACTCTTTTAATACTCCATTTGAGGTTTTAATACAGGATAGAGCGGATATCACCATAAGGGAACCCAATGCCCAACGACAGGAACAAACCTGGTATACAGACGAGTCTAAGACTGCGGAAGGCACTGAGGCGGGAGTATTCCCCAAAAACCCTGATATAAACCATAGCTATGCTATAGGAATATATTCCTCGGTATTTCAGGCCGAGGTAAACGCAATTTTGCAATGTGCAGAAACGAATAATGAAAGAGCTGTCGGAAATCAGCATATTCAAATAATGTCAGACAGCCAAGCGGTACTTAAGGCCATATCGAGTTAGAAAGTTACGTCGAGGATGGTATGGGAATGCATCGAAGAACTAAGAACACTGGCAGATCGAAATGGAGTAAAACTATTTTGGGTGCCAGGTCACCAAGGGATCGAAGGCAAGGAAAAGGCTGACGAACTTGCAAAAAGAGGGTCAGAAGAAACACCGGAACCAGACACAAACCCAGGAGTACCAAAACGTACAGTCCGGGGTTTCATAAACGACTGGATTCGGGAACAACATATTAACTATTGGGGAAGCACCCCAAAACAGGCACATGGAAAAGTCTTCACTGGCTGACCATATCCCAAACGAACTGGTGAACTACTCTTTAAGAATAGGAACCAGTTGAAAGTGATAATAGGGTTCATGACTGGGCACGCCCCAGTAAAGGGACACTTGAACAAAATTGGCATGTACAATGGGGAACTCATGTGCCGACTATGTCACAAGAAACCAGAAACGGCCAAACACATACTGTGCGAATGCGAAAGGTGACAGAGTGGGACCATTTCTAGCTTCCTGAGATTTAAAGACAGTGAATGGCTCTTGCACCACTTTTCTATAATTTTGAGAGCTACTTGCATTCTGCCGTCCCTGTTTGCAGAATGACCGGGTCATCTACATACGCTATTGTGTAGTGACTGTAATTATTGAGGCTGCTGATGAGGGTGTCGAGGACCATGTTCCACAATAGAGGTGATAGCACCGCTCCCTGTGAATATCCCCTTACAACCAAGCCTCTTATATTCACATCTTCTACACTTATGTTTACTGCTCGCTTTGGAGATTGTTGTGTATCTACCCACTAACCACTTGTGGAACAGTCCTGTTGTTTAGAGAGTGTATTATCTAGGGAAAGGTCGTGTGTTTGGCAGTTTGCCAATCGTAGAGAGATGGGTTGTATTTTTCCTCTGATCAGACGGCCACATCTGTTAAGACCGAGCCAGGAAAGTGTGCTAACACCATAAGTTTGATCATATCTTTATACATCTCTCTGTTTTTGTCTAACGATTTTTTTGTTTTCTCTGAGGTGATATTTGTAAATATCTCAGTCCTCTTCGAGTTTTGTGATTTTTCCCTTGTTAAAATATTTCCTAACCATCTTCCTGAGGTGATCCAATACCATGCGGTAGTCGTCTGATCATATTGGACCAGCCTCAGGGGGCAGGATTTCTTAGAGGCATTGTTTATTGTGCTTCGGATAGTGTTTATTGTAGCAGATATTGGAAAACCCATTGCCACGCCGAAAACTTCAAAATTCATTTTTATGTTTAAAGAATGTTGTTTTTAAACAGAATTTTATACCCTCTAAAAACGGTTTAAAAAATGATCTTGAGACCTAAATCTTTTTTAAATTTTTACAAACTGCAACTATACCAGAAGACGAAATTTTAATAAATTTAGATCAAGGTTATTCAGCTCCTCAAATGTAACCAGCCATCTTCGAATGATATAAACAAAATACAATGCATTTTTTTCATAAATACTGTTTATTTTAAAAATAGAATAATTAACTGGCGACACTTCCATCTGTATTTCTGTGTTCATTGTTTTAATCAAGACTTTTTATGTCATCTGTAAATATTTTGCTCTCTTGATTGAGATAGATATCCAGAGAGTTAATATTGATCAGAATTCGGTATAGGTAAGCAAAAATGACAAAACTGTCAAAATATTTTAAATAGTTAACTATTTTTTTTATAAAATCCGTCCATTGGTTGTCAGATACAGATAGTGTCGCTGGACAGCCTGTATACAAATCTATAAATACACATTTTTGTTTAAATATCCATGTGGCTTTCCAAACGCACCCTACGCACGTTCTGCTATAAGGACTTTCCCTAATTCAAATTTCATTTATGTACAAAAAAAATCGAATCACTACTGATAACAACTACTGCTCTAAAGATAACAAAGTCATACCTACCACGACCGTTACACTTTCATTTCTTTTCGATCCCAGATCCAAGCAAGCAACAAATCAAATATCAAATGACTGTCGGCCTTGTCTACTAGTAGTTAACAACTGTACTCGTGCTTTTAATTTTATGCGCTTTTCTAGGTATAAGCTCCGAACAATGTGCTGTCGCGGTATACCATGCGGAGACTACAATGCAAATGTTTAGTAATAATCACGTTCCACTGGTAACCAGACCGAAGTTTATTTGGGCTGGAAACAGGCCTGCTAGATTTTGAAATTCCAATTCGAAACGGCCTTCTTGATGTTGGTGTTGTAAATGAAATGATTTCATTGAGAATTTTAAGTGGAGAGGGTGGCAAATTGACCTTAGTGGATTTTGGCGTGAATGTTTGTAAAAGTGACCGCGATTGTGGTGCGAGGGTTGTTTTTGGGTTCTAGTTTTCAGTGTCATCGTGTCGTGTAGTTAATTTAATAGTGAACAAAAATTTTATTTAAAACGTACTCTGTTTAATATTGGGATTTATTTGGAATAAAACAATTACAACAAGAAAAATTTAAGGTAAGATATAATATATTTTTTTAAAAATTTGGTGATGAATAATCGTGAAAGTCTGAATATTTTATTTTTTTGGTTTAATAGAATGGTGATTAAATAAAATGAAGAGTTAAATATTTAATATTTACAAGAAATTATGAAATTTATAACCGTTTTTTATGAATTAAAATAGGTATAATATAGTACAAATAGAAGGATATAACACATTTACAATTATTTTAAATTTTTGTGAACCTTGTAAATAATTTCTTAAATAAGGATGAGGTTGGAGTTCGGCTTTTGGGGTTAGGTAGTTCGGGTCCAAATATTGAGACCAAAATTGGTATATAGATGTACTTTATCCCAAAAATATGAAAACCAAATTGAAAAAAATTCGCCTGTCCCACCCTCTAGCTGATATGGAGGGAGTAACACCCTCAAAAAATGAAGTTACCATTTTTTCAGCAAAACAGTTGGAACATACCAATATTTTCTACATACTAACCCAAAAATTCAAATTTTTTCGATAACATTTTTTTTAAATAATTTTTGGACATTGAAAAATGTTCGACCTCTGAACTGTCAGATGTGGGTACCGGCATTTAAAAATAGTTATAGATGAGATAAAAATCTAATTTTTGGAACATTTACAATAGATCTGATTTGCAACGTTTTTGTATAAAAATATTACCACCACCACCATCCCTTATAGGAAGATGGAGGGGGTGGCATCTCTAAAATATTAAGATAGAAATTTTTAAATGAATCAGTTGAAATCTATGATTTTTCTACATTCATTTTAAATTTTGTGTGTTTATGTAGAAAAAATTGTAAGTAGAAAAAATTGTAGATTGTAGGTAAAAAAAAAAAACGAGAAATGATTTAACTGGGAACGAAAAACCGAAAGCCGATAGTAGTATTAGGACAATTTTTATTAAAGGTTTGCAAAAATTTAATAGGCTGTCTACAAAAATGAAAAAAAAAACAATAAATGTATTCAAAAGTAACCTCAAACAATACTTGATAAATAAACAGAACGAATATCAAGGGCGGCGCCAAGACGAATTTTCAGGGGCGGGGGGATATTGCCTTTAGATCAGCGATTCTCAAACTTTTTGAAACGCGAAATATTTGACGAAGCCCTATTTCTAAAAAAAAGTCCACCAAGTAAAATCCTCCTTGCTCTAGCCTCTTGCTAGGTCCCTCCCGTTCTAAAAAAAATGGTCCTCATACCAAAATCACATACTCCTTCCTCTTCCTGCCTTCCTGACGTGTAAAACCTAAAAAAAGGTCCCCCAACCAAAAAAACCAATATACCAAAATCGTATTTCCTTTTTAGCATATGTTTTTGAATAAAAGGCTCATAAATCGTAAGAATTTTTCTTTCCGGGAGGGGGGGGGGATATGCCCCCCCCCCGGAGCCGCCCTTGACGGATATACTTTTTTGTGATAATACTCTTTAAACGTGCCCTTCTGAAGTATTTCCCTTAATTTATTGTTATATTACCCCTCGTTTTACCCCTATTTTTTATAAATTATTTCTGTTTTGAGATCATGCACTTTGTTTTTAAAAAATACTTGATGTTATATTAATACTACCTACTATGTTTAAATTATTAATAGTTTTGTAACTATAGGTTATAGCAACAATAGTAATTTGTGCAACAAGAGTGGATATGATGGCCATATCGCACGAAGACGAAATTTGAGCATGACGCCGTAGGCGGAGTGCTCAATCGTCTGAGTGCGATGTGGACAATCTACTCGAGTTGTACAGTATATTTTTTCTACGACCCTCTAACGAAAATTTACAAAAAAAAAATATTTTAGGTTATTGGGGCAAAATAACTAATTTTAAAATAATTTATGACTTTTAATAATTTTTAAACTAAAATAAACGAAAAAAAAGTTTATTTCACTTTTCCCTATCTGAGAATCGAACTCCAGTCTTCTGCGTGGAAGGCAAGAACGCTAACCACAAGACCACCTAGTTTTTTTAAATTTTTGTTGCTTTAATACTCGTAATTAAATGACTTCATATAGTTTTATTTAAATTAACAAATTCTTTATAATTATAGACGAAATAAAAACAGAAATGCTGTTATTTATCGATTCTACACAAGAATAACCCATTTTAATGTATTTTTAATCTCAATACCTAAAAATTATATTGACAATTAGTTTGAAAGAATTGTCACTTATTTAAATTTTAAAAATAATAGCAGTCGGTTGATCAAAATATGAACGCTGATTGGTGGATTTCATTTTTTTTGCAGTTTTCTCACTACCTAGAATGGATATGAAATATATTCGTTCAGTTGAAGGCAATAGCATACGTCTTGTAATCTGGGAGTGGATAGGCTAATATTCATGTGGGTGTAGAAAAAACTATTTTTGTGTTAAAGTAGATCCATAGGGAGCAATATAATTTACAAAGGCCTTCTTTCAACATACAAAAATAAATGGCAATACGTCATTAACAACCAACAATCAAAGTTAGAGAATTCATTTTTAAATTTTATGAATTGAGGAAATTTATGACTAGGAGTTTACTAATTCTTATTTACAATTCCCTGGTTGAATCTATTTTGCGATATGGTATAATGCGGACTATATAATATTGCTCTTCAACTCGTTAATGTAATCCATATAAAAAAGTGTATAATAAAAAAGTGTTTTGTATAAGAACATTATATTATCTGTCTTGCTGTACCTTTATTTATGAAAGCCTGAATTGAGATACACTACAAATTATTTGCAATAAATATCAAAAGAAGCATACAAACATTTTTAAATCATTTGACATTTAAGAGCCATTCACACATCATAGTTGACATCTTGATACTTGACATGCACAGCCAAGCATTATTTTGCTTTTTGCCAAATAAAATGGCCGATTAATTATTCTATCGGGTTGCAACATAGAGCCAGTAAATTTGATGAAGGTATTTTTGTGGCTAGGGGCGAAATAGTAGTAAGATTAAGTTAACACCACCATAAAAAAGTCATTTTTAAGAAACTGCTTATATATTTTTTATAAATTGGCAGGCTTGGCGACTAATTTTGAATAAACATCCAAAATGGCCATGTTGGCAATTATGAAGGTCGCAACCCGCTTTAGAAATCTCAGCTTTACAATCAACAGTTGTTGTTTGACAGGTCGTTGGAGAGTTTTTGCAATGTATAGAATGTTAGGAATGTTAGACGTTAGGAATAATTGGAATTTCTAAAATTAGCCAAATAAGAAATGCATAGGCGGATTTTAAGAAAATTGATAATAAAGTAGTTAGGATGAACCGAAAATTCTGAAAATCTAGTTAGAAGTAATTATTTAAGAAAATCAAAACCGCAAGTCAATCAGAACTTTCGTTCTAGAGTTATCGTGCCGGCATACACACACACGGGATGATCGGAAAGATGAAAAAAAGTTTTAAAAAATGGGGACAAGGAAATTTTTTCGTCTGCACGAATGCAATACTGAGGCCCCATAGGAAGGGCCTCAGTAATAAGTAATGCTATTTATTTCTTGATGATATATAAAAAAAAACACATCTCAATGCAGGAGATGTTTAAAATGCGCAACGCGAACCTCTTGGCAACATCCTAATCTAAAATAAAAATGTCTTCTAACGTTACTCAATATCTCAGGCATGACCGATCTAATCGCAAGCGTTATTCGTTTCTTCAGTTAGCTAGGTTGAGAGACATAGTTTTGTATTCAATACTTTTGACGTATCCCCATAAGAAAAAGTCTAATGATGATTGATCAGCGGATTGTGCTGGCCATTCCATCGATCCTCGCCTCCTATCCACCAATTGATGTACTGCCGGACATTGATTTGGCAATGATCCATCTTGCTGAAACCATATCATATTCGCTGGAACTTGTGGGTTTGCTAGATCGGGATATAAGTTCGTTAAAGTTAGCACGACATTATTTTGGAGCAGTTCTTAATAATAATCTCCATTCAAATTGCCATCAATGAAATGGGGCCCTATGATACGATTACCTACAATTCCTGCTCAAACATTTACCTTTTCAGGGTATTGCGTATGTTCTTCTCTCATCCAGTGATTATTTTCTCTAGATCAATAGCGACAATTTTGACGATTAGCATGAACGTGAAGTGTAAAGGTACACTCATAAAAAAACAAAACATGTTCTAATTGGATCACCATATTATCACAAAATTGCATTCTCCTATCAAAATCGTCTTCCATTAGCTCCTGAGTTTCTATTATTTTATAGGGATGCATTTTATTTATTTTTAATGTTCGAATAATCGATGAATGGCTAATATCGAACATTGGGGATGATTGTTGAATAGAACTATGTGGGTTTTCCTGAAACGCAAGCACAGTATCCAATTTGGTATCATTAGTTATTGAATTGGCAGTTGTTTTTGTATCTGCCTTGGCCTTACAAGCTCGCGAAACTGCTTCTCTATTTTACTAATTGTCCCTTGGCATATACGCAGCAAATTTGGAAATTTTTCATAAAATAAGCGAGCAACTTCCATTTGTGTCCGTGTGTTATCTCCATAACCAATTATCTGTATTGTTATATTGTACATTTCTGTTAAATGAACCATTTTTTTGATATGCAGTTAAGGAAATTCAAACGACTATACCACTGACAACTACTGTCATGCAGTCAGATAACAATTTGGTGAAGTCAGGCGTTTTAAACAAAAGTGAACAAAATTTGTTATTTCATATCAGTAAAAAGGAAGGCTGAAATGGTTTCTGCTTACTTTCTCATTATCAAGACCTAAATGGGAAATGATTATTGAGTGTGTTGCAGCGAATTTCTGCAATCAAACAATTTTATTTTGTTAATGTTAATTTTTGCAATAAATTGGAAAATATTTAATATTTCTGAAACAGGTATAGGACACAGTACATAAAATATGTCTAGAAAGGACCCCGCAATAATCTTATGGAAATTGGGTTTCTGTCAAATTGTCTGAATTTTTGATATGTTGTAGATTTTGTCATCCTGAACAAAAGTCTCCATGGACACA